GCTTTGCAGTCGATGCGGCATCGCACCTCACTATGCACGAAGATGTCGTATTTTGAGCATAATCTTTCTGTTCTTCTCTCACACTGCAAAAATGCATGACATTTTACGCTTGCCTTCCTTACTGTGCTTACTGTTTCACCAAAATACAAGCTACACAGTAGAAAACCGAGGTTAAACGTGAAGTGCGATATTTGTGGTACGAAATCCAAAAAAACTATTAAAAAAGCATTAAGAACAAACGAGGTAGAGGCTAGGTGACAGGTGAATAAACAGTTCCATCAAACAGTATTTCATCTTCGATGTCTTACGCTACGGTACACATTGTAATTTGACAGAAGAGGAGTTCGACGTAATCAAACATTTCTGGAATATATTGAAGCATAAATAGAGCGACACTTTCCAGAGCGCCTCACCCTCCTAACACCTCTACAGTTAGCATGAAAGGTGGCAGATGAGAGCTTCAATCCTTCATTACAAAGTTCACGTATTATGAGAAGCCTGCCTTTCAGGCAATCGTACTATCACCTTAATATCCTCTCCACCATCCCATTCTGACTATCCTTGAGTTTGACTTGTAGAGGAAGCGTATAACCAATACAGACTACTGGTAAGTAAGTGAACCTTTGATATCAGGTATAAAAACGTCTATTTGGCAGAGAGATTAAGAATAGCCAAAAATGCGATAATTTAGTGTTCAGACAAGCACCTAGTAGCCCGAAAATGGAATCAAATAACCGGAAATGGGAATGCACTCATCAGATGAGCAGCAAGTGTAACCTGCTAGCAAGAAACACCAACCTTCCCAAGAGCGTTTAAAGATGTAATACTAGAATTTGCATTTTATTCTTCGAAAGTTAGTTACTTTATTTCGGATAGTTACAAATGGAGGAAGAAATCGAGCTGACCAATTCTTAAGAGTAAGAGATAAAACCTACGCTCCTATCCCACCAAAACATTTCAGTCGCTAAACCCATACGTACACGTCCGCCACAGCATGGTGACCATCGCACCACTAACGACCACACATGTACAAGCAAACAAGAGCGATCCACGTCTATTGCCGAATTTAAACAAGAATTCTAAGCCGAACTTTACGCCCTTTTGGCACACGTCTGTATGCACACTTAGTGGCTCATCGGACTAATTATCTACGCTTCAACCTTGTGCCCATATAAAAGTGGCGATTCAGTATTTAGAAGTGATTAAAAAAAAGTTTAGTGTAAGAAACATACAGTTGCTAGAGCCAAAAAGTCATTAACCTTAGAGTCTCACCAAAAAGCACTTCTTTAATAAAGTTATCATCCTGACTTCCAATAAAGAAAACCACGTTACACAAACAAGAAGAGAACCCTTACAAAAACTATAACACAGTAACACCCCACCTCAGAACAATTGACAGTTAGAGAAAATAACCCAAGCTGCTTTCAGAGAGCTAAATCACTGCTTGACAGAAAAGCATAAAACATCACATATGAGTATTATCAGTTTATGACTATCAAAATCATCAAAAGATCACCATTCAATGGGTTTAAGGTGTTAACACGACAGCGGAGATGCAAAGCACACAGATGAGACTCGCCCACAAAGAGGATAAGAGGAAGGAGAAGGGACTCGTATTTAAACAAGGCAACAAGTGCTCTTTGACTGTCTATCTTTTGATTTTCTTTTCACTGGAGGAATCTCCTTGTTTATCTGACGCACCAAATCATAGAAAACCTATAAAGATAAATAGACAGGATTAGATCAGTAACGAGTCCTACAAGTATCCTGGAGTTGGAAATATGAGGCAACTTCAGTTTAGCAGTGAAAACTTGTATGAAAAAAACTTACAAAGTTTTATTGTCACAAAAAGGCAATTAATAGGACAACGTAAGAATCCAAAGCACATGAATGAGAAGGAAGGTGATCACATTCACCTCAGAGATTAAGCCATATTGACTAATTAATGAGTATTCTTGAAGCAAAAATGATGTGCATAGAAATGATGGCAAAGAGCATACTTCGGAAACATTAATCTTTGATTTCGCACTCGTTTCCATAAACGAACAATTCCATCGCCGTGCAAGCTTTTGACCTTCCTCCTTACCAACAGCTCTCTCGTCTTCCAGATCACATTTATTTCCAACAAGGACAATGGGCACATTTTCAGTGTCCTTGACGCGAATTATGTGCTCTCGAAGATCAAAAAGATCGAACAAACTGGGAGGAGAAGTAATAGAGTACGTCAGAACAAAGCCCTGACCATTCTTCATGTATAGGTCTCGCATCGCTGTAAATTGTTCCTGCAAGAATAAAACCTCTGACAAGGACTTACAGTGCCAGCAGTATCTAGTATTTCGAGGATGCATTGTTCATTATCAACCTCAACCTTTTTCCTGTAACTGTCCTCAATTGTCGGATCGTATTTTTCAACAAATATTCCTTGAACAAACTGTACGGTCAAAGCACTCTTCCCAACACCTCCACTACCGAGAACCACAAGCTTGTACTCCCTCATTCAGAGCACCCCCCTCGTAAGGCTACGTATATCCGAAAGGCGCACCAACTCGGTTGAAATATAAAACAAATACCCAAATTCACAGTAAAAGATTACGGTCTGTCGAATTTCAAAAGTAAAAACTTCAATCTTTGGTTTTATAGGAAAGTTTAACCTTGCTTTTAGATATTAGTCAACAAATTTGTCATATAGGACAAATTTACTTGTCGCTCCCGTCTATGAGAAATTACTACAACTAAAGAAATGGCGACCAACACCTAAAAATAGCTTTAGAAATCTACTGATAAACGACCTGCAAGGGCGCACTTCTAATGCTTTGTTTGTGTGACCACCTGAGGTTCAGCAGCGAATCTGAGACTCCTCTGGTCTTTGTACACGTGCCCTCACCTTCGGACCACGCTCAGACCCACTTGCCCTCTTCTCTTTGGAATACATGTATTCAACTTCACTTACTGCCTTCTTCTGCCCCATGGGAAGTCTCGAGACGCTGCAGCACTATGACCCCACAGTTCACCTTTTCAAAGCACCCCGTTAGTGTCATAAAACGAAACACACGCCCACCAATTGCGTTCACACCAACGGTCTTGGACCTTTCTCTGCACTTCGCCTCAAACAGACCTCGCACTCAACTGGAGAG